ATAAGATTGTACCATATTACTACTTACTGCCAAATCACCTGAGGATAATTTTTCTGCAGGCAAACTAATGTCCTATTAGTGACCTAGACTTGCATTCTCTAGATTTCTGGAGGACACTGCCTTTAATGCCAGAGAAACAAGTAATTCTTTGCATTCCTTAAAAATCTTAAGTTTTTTAAAGGCCAGCTTAGAGTTCTATAGATCATACTTTGTTGACTTCTCTTAGCCATTTTGGCATTTGGTATTTTGTTCATCTGAAACCTCTCCAGAAGTAACTAGCTCATATGCCTAAGGCAAGGTTTCTCAGTCTCAACACTATTAACATTTTGGACCAGATGATTTATGTTGTGAAAGTGTTCTATGCATTGTAGAATGTTTAGCAGTATCCCAGACCTCTACCCACAAGATGCCAGTAACACCCCCTGACACTAGTTGTGACAACCAAAAATGTCTCCAGACGTTGCCAAATATCCCCTAGAGACAAAATCACCTCTGGCTTAGCACCTCTGGGCTAAGTATGAAAGAAGCACTTATTATACATATAATGCTATGTGAATCTTGGCAAAGAAATATTTCTTAAGAGAGTAAACTATTCCCAGGAAAATTGCTTGTTACATTATTCCCAGTTTTCTGTAACAGCATTTGCAAGGCATAATGCATATATATCCAGATACAAAAACATAAAGTCACACATTTAGAATTGCCTTAACTTTGTTATTATAGCTAAAAAGTTTTGTCAGTTTTCTCTCTCCTGATCCCCAGTTGCATGATACGTCTGCTTAAAGTATTTATTTGGATGATCTGATTTTTTATTAATGTGATGCCTGTGTGAAAGTGTTTTCAAACCATGACAGACACATGGCAGGGACTGAGAAAAGCAAAGAGATTGGAAAACCTTCTGCAGTTCTCTCTCTGGAGTCTGGCCCTGTCTGTTTTCCTTAGATGCCGTATTTCTAAGGCTTAGATGGCAATAGCAGCCTCTCCTGCCACGGTTTAAGCAAGGGTTTCCTGTAAATTCATCTGGTTTATGTTTGGACTTGAGAAGAGCTTATTTCAGAATACCAGAATTAGGGGATCAAGACGGTGTGCTGAGCCCATTCTTTCCAGTACATTTTCTGTGCTGACTGACTCTCTGACTTGAGTGGCAGTATTGGAACTTGCTTGGAAGTATGAAATATCATTCCTGTTTGATGGATAGGATTAGAGTAGATAGAACAAAAATGCATTAAATTTTCCCCCAAGGGTTCCCTTTGCTAGTATCAGTTTACTTGGCTGATTTCTTTACGTTTCTGCTCTCTGTTTTCCCCATAGAATTTCCTATAAACTCTCCCTGTCAATCCAATCTTTATTGCTTTCAATTTTAATACTCCAATTGGTACATTTTGCAAAATAGACCAGCCATGCTAAAATGTGATGCGTGATTTGCTCTGTGAGTATAAGGGGTTGAACCTGGGTTTCTAGCAGAGCTTAAACCATTGCATGTTGTTTGAGGACTGTTTGTTGAGTGTTCATGGGTGCCTGTCATGCCATTATAAGCACCAAATAAGCCTTTTCGTCCCCTACCTAATAAATCAGATCTGCCAAAGATGAGACCTAAAGGAGATTTTTAAATGCAAACCATGATTTTTATAGAAAAGGACTGTTTTCCCTAGTTACTAATGCCCTTGAATGCTTACAAAATAGGTATGAGTTAAGCTTCCACTGAGCATTTACAAATATGTGAAATTGAACCCTCTTCTCTGGGTTCTCATCCCTCAGCTTCCCACTTGTTTCAGGCACTCATATTTTTTTGCACCCATGCATTGGCCATTCTTTACTGTAATCACCACTTAATTCCCTAAGCTGCTCTGCATACATTCATCCATTCAGCATATAGCTTTTTACGTATCTACTATGTGCCAGGCTCTGTTCTAGGCAACAAGGCCACTATGTCCTGGATCTTCTTGGAGCTAACATTCTAGAGTGAGAAATAGTCAATAAGTACATTGTAAATTTGTCAGCTTGGACTGCCATAACAAAATACCATTGACTGGGTGGCTGAAACAACAGAAATTTTATCTTCGCACAGTTCTGAAGGCTAGAATTCAAGATCAGGGTTCCAGCTGATTTGGTTTCTGGTGAGGGCTCGCCTCCTGACTTGTAGATGGCTGCCATCTTGCTGTGTCCTCACATGGCCTTTCCTCGATGTGTACTTGTAGGGAGAGAGAACAAGAGTGAGCTCTCTGGTGTCTCTTATTATAAGAACACCAATCCTATCTGGTCAAAATCCCACCCTTATGACCTCGTTTAACCTTAATTACTTCCTTAGAGGTCCCCTCTCCAAATACAGCCGCACTAGGGGTTAGAGACTTGACATATGAATTTTGGGGGGTCAAAAACATTCAGTCTATTACACACATGAAGAAATGTTTAAAAATTACTACTTTAGATGGTGATAAGAAAATTTTCATCTAAGTGAAAATTAGGTGAAAGAGATAGAGAACAATTGGGGCAGAGATGGCAGTTGCTACTTTAGCTACAGGCCCTTCTGAAGAAGGGGCAGTTGAATGAGACCAAAAATGAAAAAGAGGCAGACTTGTGGAGACTGGGGAAGTGAGCATTCTAGGTAGAGAGAATTGCAAGGTTGTGTCCAGCTGGAGGTGAGAATGACAAGATCATGGGAGAGAAGAAAGTCGGTGTAGTTGGATTCTAGTTGGCTATGGGAGATGGGACAAAAAATATAAGAAAGGTGCTTGGTAGCACCCCTGTGCAGGACAATACAAGGAGTTCAAATTTTGTTCTTATCAGCCATTGGAAAGTTTTAAGCTGATTAATGTATGGATAAGGTATAATTGAAGTGACTAAACAGAGAAACTCTAAGGGGTGTTTTAGAGTCTTGCCCATGTATAATACACATAGTAAATGCTCAATAAATTGTTTAAAGTGGAAGGATGGATGCTTTTTTACATAGTAATTGCCTTTTTAGAAAAGTCAGGCTTATTAGATATAATTCGTTAGGTATATTTACACTTTTTGGCATGCAATTCTATGATTCTAACACAGAAAACCATGTAACCACCACAATAATCAAGATATAAAACAATCACATCCCCTTTCGAAATTCTCTCATGCTCCTTTGGAATCAACCCCTTCCCACACCCCCAGCCTTTGGTATCCACTGATCTGTTTTCTGACATAAATGGAATTATATAGATTTTTGATTCTGACTGCTTTCAATTAGCATAACTCATTTGAGATTCACCATGTTGAATGTATCAGTAGTTATTTTCTTTTTATTGCTAAATAGAGTTCCATTGCATACATGTGCCAAAGTTCATTTACACATTCAGTTGAAGGACATTGGGTTGTTTTGCAGTGTTGAGCAAGTGTGAATAAAGCAGCTATAAACATTTGCATTAAGGTTTTTCATAAACAAAAGTTTTTACTTATCTTTGGTTTACACGGAGGAGTGGGATTGCTGGTTTATATGGTATGTGTATGTTTAACTGTGTAAGAAACTGCCTAGTTGTTTTCCGAAATAGCTGTACCACTTTACATTCCCACCAGAAATGAACAAGAGCTCCATTTTCTCTGCATCCTTGTCAGCATTTATTATTGTCTTTTTCTTGACCATTCTGTTAGGTAGGTAATCAATACTTCACACCTGTAAACTTAGGTGTCCGGTGGGTAGAAATAGCAAAGATATAATGTACGATGGAGTAATTTTTCCACTTTTTTTTAACCAAAAGAGTATGACTTATAAAATCCTTGTTAAGAGCTAGATAAAGTAAATTTAAGACTATAATTCCCTAATCCTTGCTTGAAGACTTGTAGTAATCTAAGCTTGAGGAATTTATTCCTTGAATCCTGCCAACCATGAATTCCAGCTCTCCTATATCCAATGAGAGTCTCATGAAATGCTTCCTTAGAAAGGTAGCCCATAAAATTCTCTATTAAAAATGTCAGTGATCCCTGAGGCTTGATGAAGACTTCGTCTCCAGAATCTGAACCTCAGTCATATCATTTTTTATAAAATGAACATAGTAATTGACTTGCGGTAAGAGTATGGCAAAATGAAATAATGATTTTGTTATCCTGTCATGCATTTTTCTGATCTATCCTCACAAATGTGAAATACTCCCTCTGAGGCAACCTGGTTTTGCCCACTCTGTGGCTGGCTCCTCTATTCTTTCACTTACCAGTGAGACATGAAGGAGGAAATGTTTGTATAACTGGAGCAGAGATGGGCATGTCTCTGATTTTCATGCATAGGAGCCACCCCTTAATAGATCTTCCGAAGGATCATCCCTCCTCTGATTTGTGAATTCCTGACCTTGTCTAGTATCATTCTATAATTGTTTGTTGAAGAGCCCTGGAGGACTAGAAAATTCAGTGCTTATTACAGAGTCTATAGGAACATATCACATAGGTTCAGTAAGTCTACCAGTGCTTTCATCAAATTCAGAAAATATTCTTATTCCAATATAGACACAAATTGTCTTCTTCTCTTTTCATGGAGAAAGTATTTTCTGCATGAGGGTATGGACCCATGCCTAACAGAAAATATCCAGACCTTTCTAGGAACTGATCCTTATTTCCTGAATGAAGAAATAGATGCAATTCCTGTATGTGTGTAACATCAGCCATCTCTCTAAAGCTTGGTGCTTTCATTTTGCCTATCTTTCAGAGAACTTTTAAATGGCATTGCCTTTTTTAAAAAAATGATATCCATGGTTTTTCTCCTCAGTATTGGCCAAAGACACTGTTATACTCACCTGGCACAAGAAAGATTTTGTGCGGCTAAATTTTATAAGGTGACTCAAAGTTGTCATTTTGTTCAGAACGATTTATTTCTCATAGTGGGATCATATACTGTAAATCTCCTGGATGCTCCTGTTAACAGTCAGTAGAAAAACACGAGGATGGAAATATGTCTTTCCTAGAGGTGCTTGGTAGCATTGAGTAGCAGCTAGGCATACAGCAGCTTCATGAATCTTCTTTTTTTTGTTTTCTGTTTGCAGATTTTATTCTTCACCGTACAGTATTGCAACCAACCGCATGATTCCACAGACATCCATCACGCCATTCATTGCTGCCTCCCCTGTCTCCACATACCAGGTATGTCCGATTTACCTGCACCTCAGGAGAGATCTGCCTTGCCAACAATGCACTACTTAGAGGCAAAAAGGACACAGTAGACGTAAAAGAAAAATTGTCCTCATACACTCTAATCACAACTTAACGTAATAATGCTCAAGTTATGAATTAGCCTATGCTTTGAAGGGCCTATTTGCATCAATTCACTGAATAATAAAATCCACCCTGCTTTTCATTCTGCCTGCTGAGTTTTCATGATTCTGCTGCTTTCCAGCCAACATTAGTACAGCTCTCTTACCACTGGGAAATTATTTTGTTTGTTGTTTGTTATTTTGGTTGTTCACGTTCCCTATTGTGTCTTTTCTAAATGCACATTTCTAGCAGTTGCTTCACTCACTCCAGGATATTTTGTCATTGTCATCTCATGTTTATTATGGTCGTCCTGGTAAAGCTAAATGGATAGCTGTTAAGTCATACTTCCCAAGAAACAGGGAAGATTAAAAAGTGGTAAAAAATGATTCCTGCTCCCTGCTTTTACTTCATACTCAGGTCCAGAGACACCAAAGGAGACCTCAGGGATTCCATATGTTGAAATGCAGAAAAATCTGAGACTCTGTGTGTGTCCTCAACCAGCTGTTGCAACCAGTTAATTCCAAATACACAGGTGGATTGAAATGCTCCACTTCTCCCTCAAAAAATACTCCTTTTCATATTTCTTTGAGTTATCAAATACATGATATCATTCCCTGCTCCTCTTTACCTAATTATATTCCTCAAACGAATTTTCTAATTCTAATTAGAAAATGCCTATAACTGCTACATGTAGAAAGAAGGTGTGTCATTTCTGAAGTTTGGAGAGAGAGAGAAAGAGAGAGTGCCAACGTGTGCATGCATGTGCTTCTCTATACTTTGCAGATGGTGGGGGTGGATGTATTACAATGGGTAAAACTGCATTTTGCTGACTGTTACTAATTCAGTGAAGTTTCACTTTTATTCAGCCACTACATACTTTATTTCAGGATGTCCCAGCTGTCAGAGCATCAAACTTGACACTATGTTTTTCCTTAACTGATTCCCCCTGAAGTAGATCATTTTCATTCTTTTACTGTACTCAGACTCTTGAAACATGTCTGTGAGCGAATAGAGTAGACTTTCATTTGAATTGCATTAGAGGGTCTCAGAACGGCTGATTTCTTTAATTGCCTTTCCTTGGGACCCATGAGGCTACGTGCAGGTGCTGTTCAGTTTTTGTTCTTCCTGAAGGCCTGCCTGGTTGTAATGTGTGTGTGTTTGCTTCATCCCCACCCCCTTTTTTTCAAATCTTGGCCTCTGTTTCAGCCAAGACCACCCATTGAGACACACTGTAGAGCACTTTGGTGACATGCATAAAATATCCACAGAAAAGTGATTTTACTTGGGAGGGCTCATAAGTGGAATTTAACTCCAGCTCCCTTTTCTCAAAAAAGGAATTAGAGCAATTTCCTATGTTGTTGATTCTTGCCTTTCAACACTTTTTTTAAAAATCCAAAGTGCATTGGCAATTTTGTCAGTGTGAGTATGTTGAAAAACAAAATCTTCAGGGTTCTCTATGTGACAATCACTTTATATGTGCTGACTTTCTCATTAGGCTGACACATAGTGCTTTTAAGAAGAGTTGGGTGGCTTAAATACTGATTTTTATTTGCCATACCAATTACCATGAGAGAAAAAATTTACAAACTTGCCTAACATGGGTTTAACCCAAAGCATTTCCCAAAATTTCTGGTTTATCTCTTTAAGTTCTCACATCTTTTACCACTTGAACATATTTCTAAGATGGAATCACCTAAGCATTTAAAGTTATAACTGATGATGAAAAAAGAGGAAGTCTAAACAGTCAACGTTTACTTCCTTCATTTCTTGTTAGAGCATCCCTGGGAGTTGACCTCCAAATAGTCTCTGAGGCCTGCTAAGATTTTAGTCTTCAACGTCAATGTCAAAATATGCTTTAAGACTCAGACTGGTCCATGAGGGCACTGAAGCTACGGCCAGTGAAATGGGAAGTTGTTTTACATTTTACTACATTTCAGGGACCAAATTAATCAGGTCCAAGAATTCCCTTTTTATCCTTGGTTTTGAGCATTAATTAGCTGTAAAGTCAGATGGACTCCACTTTCTTATGACCTAGTGTGACTCCACTGAACGCAAGAACCAAGTTCTCTCTGTGATTGCTTTGTGCTAATAAATGCTGTTTGATGCATAGGTCCAGAGTACTTCATGGATGCCTCATCCGCCATACGTTATGCAACCAACAGTAAGTGTTCTCAGTCACCTGAGGCTACATATTTCTATTATCCAAGTGCAAGCTTTTGAAATGCATAGAAGCTTTGGGGTAAAGCTTTTGTTATATTCTGTAACTCTTTCAGGCAGCCATATTCCTCAGATAAAAAGCTGTTCCTGAAATTCTACAAAAGCATATAACATAGATAGCTAGAGATAAAGATAGAGGTAGATACAGAGACAGAAGAAAAATGAGAAAGGGATGAGAGAGAGAAAGAGAGAGAGAGAAAACTTTATTGGAGGGAATAGCCGTCAACCTCCCAAGCTGATATCTATCATTTATTATAAATGAGGAATTTCTGCTTTATGCAGGGACTCAGAACTCTGGACAATTATATCCATCATAAAAGGAAAGTCTTTGTTTTTCTTCTCCTTTCTGTTATGCTTTGCTTTCTACTGACACAGTCTGATGCGCTTTGGGGGCAATTTTGAGTATTGTGGCCAAGTGTTAACTTGAAGTGATATATTTGAAATGTATAGGTAGTTTTCTACTAATAAATGGGGACATATATACAGAGAGAACAAGGTGGATAGATTTTTAATGTTGACTAACTATAGCCATTGTCTTCTTCATTAGTGGAAAATTTCTTCCCAAAATATTCAAACTCTATTTTCTACTTGCTAGGTCTCCCATTTTGTGGTGCAATATTACATCAGTCCCAAGTAAAAAGTATGGCATATTATATTAGAATCTACACTGAAAGCTAATGATTTCATTTATCTTTGTCTGGGTCTTCCAGGTTTTCTAGCTCTGTAGAAGAGCAAGATAGAGAGATTTCAATAGCAACATATTCGTGACAGTGTGAGGCAGGGAAAGAGCCCTAGACTGGAAGCTGTTTGACGAGGTCTCTGGTGTACTCTCCTGGGTATGCTCACATCTGTGCCTTTGTTTCCTTTTCTGTCACTATTCTTAACAGTGCTTTTAGGAGGATCACATGAGAGAGAATATTGAAAACAATGTAAAAAGTATGATATGCTATACATTATTACCATTATCTTTATTATTATTGAATATGTTAGTTGTGTAAAGAAGCAATGCTACATTTTACCCTTCTAGAAGCTAAATTTAAATAAGGTAGCACATCTTAAAAACCAGGGAGCTAAATACAGAGACATCCACTTCCTGGACTCAAAGGATCAGAGTGTGGTTTTCATATTTGAGCTTTGCTCAAAATTTATTTTTTTCCATTTTTTTAATAAGGAAATTTCCATGTTGCTCCTAACATTTTGATTGTTTTTCATTTAAAGAATAAAATGTATGTAGCTTACCACAGCAAAACTTTGGACCATATTTTGCAAATCCCTCTATTTACTATCATTTACACACATTGGGGGTTTCCTGAGTTCATCTGTTCTATGTTCTATAAATCATATCAATATGCAACAAATCCAGGCTGTACTTTTCTGTCCAAGTCATGAGGTAAAATTCAATATGTGCTGCTAAGCCAAAATATAGCATAGCACAGACTCAGCCAACACCGGAAAGGGAAGAAGTCCTGCCAAGTTCTACAGAGAAGACTTTCTGGAAGGAAACAACCACCTTCTGAAAAAATAACATGTTCATCTATAGAGCACTTAATGCTAGCTTAGTCCTCACACTGAGATTCAACATCATCTCTTTGTGGACAAAAGAAATGCACATCTGGCAAAATCAGAGTATTTTGCCAGATGTCAAAGTATGTTAGATTCTTCAGCACTTCTAGGGCTGTTAGGAGAAGGAAATATGGTTGTATGAGTCTTTATTTCAGCTATCGCTTAGGACCTTAGCAAAGTTTTTATTATGAGTCCTCCTCCACCCCTTCACAGCTTCATCCCCATGTTTACATGAATTATTTCTCACACATCTTTCTCTAGCAATAGGTGTGTGTGTGTGTGTGAGAGAGAGAGAGAGAGAGTTAATTTGTCCCCATGGATTTTTCTTGCTGTGGCTACTGCTCACTGATATATCACTTCCAATGACTAGACTGTTCATCATGTTTAAGCTTAGGCCACTAGGTTTAAAACGTAATGATTGTGGCTGAGGCAGTTTTCTGGAAAAAAGGAGTAAGTGGGCCACCCACCACTTTGTTGTTGTTAACATGAAAGCCTTGACTAAATGGTGTCATGGAAATGCAGACTTTGTACCATCAATCTTTACGCTGTAACAGTTTTATTATTTATCTATATTACATAAATAACTTGACCCAACTGACCTTCGCTTCATCATCAAAGTAGGGGTTAAATTAATCACTACATGATACTAAAATATAAAAGTACTTAAGCCAAGGGTTGGTCCATTAGCTTTCTTGGTTAGAGTGTGGTACTGATAACACCAAAGTTAAGGATTCAGATCCTGTACTGGCTAGCCACCAAAATAAAAACAACCAAACAAACAAAATACATAAGCCAGCTAAGGCCCCCAAAAATAAAAATAAAATAAAATACTTGGATCTGAAAAGAAGGAATGAATGACTTGATGATTAATAGCATGGATTATTGGTTAGGCTTGTTGGGATAGGAATCTTTCCTAACTATGGGGGTGTTGGGCAACTTAAACTTTCTGAGCTGCAGTTTTCTCATCTGTAACACAGACATAATAATACCTAAATAATTACTTTTTGTTCCTTAAATGAAATAAGGGTTTAAAACTCCTAAAATAGTTACTAGAAAATAGCAAATACTCACTAAATTATTATTACATAGTTATATGAGTAGACTTTATATTATGCTTTAGATTAGCTCAATTATATAAAGTGAGTGTTGGTACAGGACAAAAGTTGAGACTAAGCAAGAATCACCCATTTCTACCACATTTACAGCACTTATTTAACTTACTGTGCTAACGAATTTTGTGGGGATAGACTCTGTGGCTATAAATAAGACAAATTATTTAGATTAGCACTTACTTCATTTACTTACTAAATCATTCAACACCTAATACTTAAAAAAATGCCCATTGGGTACTTTCTTTATCAGTAACTGGAGCCTACTTTACAAATAAATTCAAGGTGTTAATATCCATGTCTCAAATAGGTTGCCCATAATTCCAATTTGCTGGCAACTTTTCTCCTCTCTTCCTGCATTTTAAGAAAATCTCAAACATGAGCTCTCATAGTGGAGGCATGCTACTACCCCAGTCAACACACATGCTTACTAAGTCCTGAACTGGAGCCAGATGCACTGCCTCAGCCAGAAGATCTTCAGGTTCTCTCTCAGACTTGACTTGCAAGGCTCTACAGTCTCAATAAAGTTTGTATCTGAAGAGAAAACAGTGCTTCGGCAAAATTTTAACATAGAGCACAGTGCCTTTTGTCTCTGTGCCAGGGTGGAGAAATGATTAAATGAGAGGGGTAACAACTGGTAAGAGAAAAATGAAATAATGGAGAGAAGAGAAAGGAACAGTGAAGAGATGAAAGAAGAATAGAAAACATAAGCATATAGTTTGCTGAAGTCTGCCATTTGCTTCTTTGAAAGAAGAGAGGAAAAAAGTTTGCCATTTAAGTTTGGGAAGAGAGGAGAAAAGTCTCCTTGCATAGGTTATAACTGTTTTTCTTATGTCTGTGCAGGAAAATGGATCTCTGTTACTGGACCCTAGGACCTTATTGGATCTCCTGGAAAGTTATCAATTTCTGCTTAGTGAAGCAAGAGTGTTTCAGTGTACACTTTGTTATTGTTTACTTGAATAGACTCTGAGGAGAGAGCCCTGTTAGACTAAATTAGGGATTCACTTTTATTGGAAGTAAAAGTGCTGACTTTGTCAATTCAATTGGTTATTTCCTTCTGCTTCTCAGCACAGTGTTGTATTATACTCTGAAATCTCAATATTACATGAACAGAATTTTAATAGTTGATGGATTGCACCAAATATCTACTCTACAGAGCAACATGTCACATTGGCATGTCCACAATTGAAATTCCCATGTTCTTTTTTTTTTTTTTTTTGTCTTTTTGTCTTTTTCCATGTCCGGCAACGGATCGTAACCCTCAGTGTTGCCCCCGTACCGGACCGGGGAAAGGCAACGGGATTGCAACCCTCGGTGTTGCTCCCGCGCCTTGCTCAGCCAGTGAGCGGGAACCGGTCTGTATGTGGGATCCGAACCCTCGGGCGGGAGCGCCGCCACGCTTCCCAAGCGGCGCACTATCCAGTGCGCCACCGGGCCGGCCCCTCCCATGTTCTGATACAGTGAATATTTTGTTAAATCTATGCTACTGACAAAGAGAAAAGATGATAGTTCCCAAGAGGAAGCAGAGTTCTATTCCCTTGAATTCTATTTAGGCTCATTTGAATCATAAATCTTCTGTTTTTCATATGGTTAGTGTTATTTCTTCTCAAGGAGAAAGGTCAGCTTTCATTTTTACTTAATTACGAATTGGTTATCTAATTACAGTATTCTAAGAAATGCAAGATGCCCTTATTGAATCATTGGATGATTTGTTACATGCATGACTAAATCATAATTTTTATCATTAATAAAACCTAAGTTTATAGCTGGAGAACAAATATAAACTTCCTTTCTAAAATAAGGCCGTTTTAAAAAGCTCCACCATACTTGATTTGGCATTCTTCACTGCCAACAGGTAAGGACTAAGGCACAGTTTTAAGAGTTTGTGTCCTGAAAATTTGCAGATATGTGTTATGAAAAAGTATATCACCAAATTGGAAAGAATATTAGAAATCTGTTCAGAAATCAAGGTTTTCCGACTACCCTATTACTTCAACTCCTGAGCTGAGCAAAAATCATAACCCTCATGGTTTTATTATCAAAGTACCAAGCACAAAATGCTTTTTGGCTACCTAAGGAGTTAACCTGGTGTGTGTGTGTGTGTGTGTGTGTGTGTGTGTGTGTTGTGCGTGTGTGTGTGTGTGTATAAGGGTACTTCAAAGAGCTCATGGAAAAAATAGAATTAAAAAAACAATACAAGGAGACATCATCAAGATGGCAGAATAGTCCCCAGTGTCACTCTCTCCCACAACTGATCGATTTACAACTATTG